TGTCTACTCTGTGTGTGGAGGGGGTGGGAATGTTTCTTGCTGTAAGGGTTTGTTCCCTCTTTTGGGTTACTGCATCCACAGGTATAGATCAAGTTCATCAAATTGTCTCAGATCACTCTTTTTTTTTTCCCTCTTCTTTCTTCTCCTGGTTGAGTTCTGATCATCCATTCATCGGAACCAGGTCACGTGGATACCATCTGTAAGTGTGGGTGTTCTTGTGTATATGCCCTTTCTTCCTATCAGCTGGTAGCTTCACTCTCCACTCTAGTCCTCTGTGGCCACACCGCTGACTCTGGGCCCAGGAGTCCCCAGGTCTTCCCACACTGCTGGCCAACCAGGTCCCCATCTGGGTCCACAGAAGCCCACCGAACATTGTAGGGCTTAGCTTGCTGCTTCATTGCTGCTTTTACCTCACTTCCCCCTATCAGCGATGCGTGTGATCACCAATCAGGGCGCGTATTTCCATTGAGTCTTAGTCTTGGAAGGGGGTTTGCATTAAGGGGACCCGACCACTCGCCTTGATGTTTCCTGGACAAGCAATTTGTTTGTTCTTGTAGTAACAGTCCATCTGCCTCTATTGTTCTGTATTTTTCCTGTAGGTCTTTCTTTCAAGAAGTATCTTCTGTTCTTCTAGCCGCTCCAGGCTGGTTTGCTCATCCTTTCAAGTTGGAATTTCCCATCTCTTTAGATCTGGATGTGGTTCAGGCTTCTACCTATAGTCTTACGTATTGCAACGACTCCGCAGGAATCCTCCTTCCCTGGGCTCTTTGTAGCCCCATTTTAGGTATTCCAATCAGTTATAGGCAGAAGATGGACTTACAAGCTTTCTATGGTGATGTTTCTGACCTACCCCCCCCCACACACACATATTTAAGAATAACTACCACTCTGAGTTGTCTAGACCCTTTTAATGTCATACCTTTCAAAGAGGAGTCCTGGTGTGGTGCTGTGTGTTACTGCACTGGATGGCAAAGTTAGTTTGAACTACAAGGTCAGTGGTTCCAGCTGCTCCTTGGAAACTCACAGGGTCGCTGTGAGTCAGAACTGATTCAATAACACTTAACAACAACAACCACCTTTCAAAGCAGTTGCTAGTGATAGTTGAGCACCATCTAGTCTTTCTGGTCTCAGGGTCATGGGTACTTATTTTCATGTGGTCCATTAGTTGCTTGGATTGTTTCCAACAGTCTTCAATTTTCATAATTCTTTTTTCCTCTGGTCAGCGAGAGACAAATACTTGCACTTAACAGGGCTGCTTTTGAAGCTTTTAAGGTTCTATACCAAAGTCGGATGTAAAACATTGTTTTTGTGGACTATGTTATTATGCCAATTGACCATGGTGTTTCCTGAGACTATGGTCCTGAATCCCCAGACCCAGCCATTCATTCTCTCAGAAGTGTTTGGTAATGTCTAAGAAGTTTTCATAGCTGTCCCCCCCATATGCTCCACCACATTCATTTGTATATTTGCAACAAAGACCCATGTACAACTATCCTCTGTCAATTCTATACATATTGTGGGTATATTTCCACTCTTCCTCCTATACCCTTTCAGCCTGAATGTCTATCCATGCATCTTAGGTATCTTTCTTAAAGCAATCCTGCACCCTTATAAAAACTACATTTTCAATATAAGATAAAAAGCTATTTCTACAAAAGTGCAAGATTTTTGCACCTGTTGGCATAACTGTAGTGGCAACTTCACAAATCTCCTTTTCTTTTTTTTTTTTTACAATGGCTCCTATGCTGTATTTCTTTATCTTAGAATGGCAGGCAACTGCAACTGCAGACCTCAATCTATGGTACATAAGAAGTAATTCTACTTTCTCTTGTAATGTCATGACTTTGCTTCTTGGGAACACTTCTAGCATCCCTAGTGGTACTTTGTATGGGTTATGTGGTCTTATTCAAGGTTTATGGTATGAGTAAGCATGATGAAAAATACACAAGAACCCTGAGAGATCACTTTAACGTGGTACACGGTCTACTGGAGAGACAAAACTGCTCATACAGAGATGATTAGCATCAGAGAGAATTTTAAGTGCATACTCATAACACTTGAAATCACCACAACAGCTACAGAGATGGCTACAAAATTCTTACATTAGAACAGCGTATGCTACAGCTTATTTTATGTAGATATTATTTAATACTATATATTTGTTTATTGAAAAAATTCTGGATATCAGTGGACCTATGCGGTCAAACCCACTTTGTTCAAGGGTCAGCTGTGTTCTACAAATGCAATAATACGTAACAATGCACTAATAATAATGCCAAAAGTAGCAATAATGTTACTTTTAGTCATAAAAAGTCATCTCTGATTTGTTATCCTCACTTTGGCTTTGTTGCATTGAATATTTTCTTCCCATATAGATTGCTTGGCTACCAAGTGAAAGATTCTAAAGTAGAACAGCAAGACAACTTTCTAAAACGCATGTCTGGGATGATCCGTCTGTATGCTGCCATTATCCAGCTCCAGTGGCCATATGGAAGTCGACAAGGGGTTGGTAGTGTAGGCTTATTATCAGTAATAAAAAGTTGGTAAGAACCTGGATTCATAACAGTCTTCCAGAGGAGAATCTGTTAGAAATTATCAGTAAGATTAGAAGATGCTATTAGAAGAAAAGTGAGTAAAAAACTGACTGGGTCCCTTAGTTTATCTACTTTATTTCACAAATTGATAAGTAGAGGCTTAGAAAATTGTGACACATAGCTATTAATGACAAATCCATGACTGGGGTTCAGGGATTTGACCTGCCATACCAGTTCTTCTCTCAAGTAATGCTGGTTAGAGGAGTTGAGAAGTTAATGGATTTAGAAACCTGATGAGTAAGGTATAGAAGGTGATTGAATGAATCCAGAGAGTTTTTATTGTTGTTGCTATGGCTCGTGTTCTGTGCTAAGGCACCAAAAATAATCAATAAAATGTATATAAGGGTTAACTGTTGACTTAAGAATCCCCGAGCTTACATGTATTGAAGGAATCCTGTAAAGAATGTATGGGGACTGCTGTATTAGAACATTTAAAAACAGAATTCAATTAGCTAGTGTTGTTTCTGCCCTTTGGCAAGTACAGGATTAGGTGATCTAGTTAGAGTCCATGTCCACTTGGTAGTGACTAGATGATGACATGGGGAGTTTAGATCTCTGAATAAAATGAGATCAAATCATGACCAAGTCTCTCTCCTCCCAGATTCACCCTCATGGCTTAAACCATGGCTGGCGCTGGTTGGCACAGATCTTAAACATGGAGCCTCTGTCAGATGTGACAGCCACGCTACTCTTTGACTTCTTGGAGGTATTTAATGCAGTTATTACATGAAAGAAAACCAGTGGTTGAAAGAGCTATGGGCCACTGGGTGATATGCATGGGTAAATATTACAGAAATAGAGTCATACATTTTTTCCTGAGCCCTAGCTTTCCCTTTTTCTTCCAGCTCTACTTTTCCTTCTCTGTGTGGATGTCTTTTCATTGCAAAGAACAGAAAACTGTGTCGTAGCACAAGTGAAAAGGGGGAATTTGTTTCAGCAGTGGACAAGTGACTCCCAGAATCAAGGATCAGATGTTTAATGGAATCTCATAAAAGCCTGGAACCAGGAACTAGATAGCATGTTACCAGGCATCATGACAGCCCCTCGGGGCCATGTGGACTTTTCTGTCTTTCCTGTCTGAAAGTACCCTTATTCTTGCTCAATAAGCCAACTTTTCAATATTTCTCTGTACATAGAGAAGATGGCCACCTTGGAATGTATCACTCTTAGCCTCACCCAGTTGGCTCGGATCTCCTTGTTCTGATGTCTCATTTGCAGGAGAGAAAATAGGACTAGCCATCTTGAGTCAGTAATCTCCCCTATCAGAAGGCTCTACAGTCCTGTTTGCTTATTGAGGGTCAGTCTTATAGGGTGATGGGTTCTATGCAAAGAAGACATTTCTTAACGAAGAAAGGCATGGAGCACATGTCATAACTAATATGAACCCTGTAGCTTATACTGCCAATAGTTCTAGTCACCTTACTAGCCCTTGATGAAATCATAATTAACAGGGATCCTGAATCATTGAGAACATAAGTAAGTGGTACTATATGTCCTTACTAAGGTTAGGAGGTTTTTCATTACCTTTACAATGGCTTCTGTTCAGTAGGATAAAATAAAAATAAATAATTCAATTTATTTTAAACTTCTGGTTTTCAGAAATACCTGGCCATCTGGCTGGTTGGTTAAATGGAGATATCATATATAGAGGAATGTTTCAGGAAAGTTGGATTTTTTCCATTTAAATCCCTGGGTAAGCTAACTAAATGACATTGTGGCTGAAATTCTTATGTAGAGGTGAAAGGCCAAAGGGCTGATTGTGGATCTTTCCTTTGAGTATGAACTTTCATTTTTTTGTTTTCACAATACCTGTCTTTCCCTGTAGGTGTGTGGCAATGCTCTTATGAAGCAATACCAGGTTCAGTTCTGGAAGATGATACTTCTCATCAAAGAAGACTATTTTCCCAGGTATTAGACTTGTTGAACAGACAACAGTGGGTCCAGTAGGTAAAATTCATGACCTAAGCATCAGATCCCCTTACATGCAGTTATTTACTGTTCTTGACTCAGGTCACAAATACTTCTATTAAGTATAATATTTTCCTGCTCTCATCTTTCTCTTTGATATTTGAAAACTAATTTTGAACTCTAATGACAGTATTTCTTAAATATTGTTGGCTAAACAAACAAGCAAAAACAAATTAGGGAGGTCTTAGATTAAGATACCTGATGTTTTCTGACTCTGCCCTTTTTCTGAGTCCTGGTGTGGCACTGTATCATAAGCACTGGACTGCTAACCATGAGATCAGCAGTTGAAACTCAACCAGCAACTCCTTAGCCACCCTCTCTATATACAGTCACTGTGAATTGGAACAGACTTCATGGCACTTAAAAAATTAACCCTTTTCCCAATTCCTCCCAATAATCTGAACTGAAGTCATGAGTTAAACCAGTTAAGTTCCCTCAGCAAATTTGTTTGAGAAATTGATTTATCAACCAGTTTGCTTGACTTTTGTGAGGCATTTGTCTCTCAATATCCTTCTCTTTCCTTTTCAGTTTGTTTGCATTCAGGTGGTGGGGGGAGGCCTTGGCAAAACTTATTCTACCTGATCACAAAGACCTTGAAAAGAAACAGTGTTCTCTTCTTTGTTTTCTTGTTTGAAAAAAAGGTTGGGACCATTTGGAAAAGCAACAGCATCCTAACTCTAAAAGACGACTCTATCACTCATTTGATATACACCTTCAATCCAGACCAACAATGTGCATAACTCATCTACAAAAGGCAGTTGCAATTCATGTGCCTCTTTTACCTTCTTATAGAATTGAAGCCATCACAAGCTCAGGACAGATGGGTTCCTTCATACGCCTCAAACAGTTCTTGGAGGTAAGATATCATTCCCAAACTGTTGTTATCTGACAAGTCTTAGATCTTTAGACTGATTAGTTCATCCCTTAGTTTTTCTGAGTCCTTTTTTTTGGTCCATAATTCTTCCTTAACCCTTGAACTAAGGCCTGTGCTTTCATCTTCTTCTTACATACTTTTCCTGTTAAGTGGTATAAGCTGAGTTAGAAAATCATTCTCTTTTCTTTTTCCGTGACCAGAAATGTTTGCAGCGCAAGGAGATTCCTCTCCCCAAGGGCTTCCTGACTTCTTCCTTCTGGCGCTCCTGATGTCACCATCATCCACCATCACCATTATGCTGCTCTTTTTACAAAGCAACAATAATAATAAAGCAACAATAATAAAGCAACTGAAGACGGCTGTATTTGGAAGAAGTCATATCAGATTTAGAAAATTGTCAATGCATTTTTGTATACTTGTACCTTGTGATCAGGAGAGATTTTCATGGGTCACAAAATCTAGGTTGCCTCTTGGTAGATTTGATAACTTTTCAAGGGGTTCACATGATAGAGTAAATGGAATTGGCTTTTCTCAGTTATGTGAAACTTACGAAAAATTATAAGAAGAGATGCGTAGCACTTAGTATCATCTTTTAATTTTTTTGTCTCTCGTATCTTTCAGAAAGTAGGTGGTACCTTAACTATTTAATTTTGAGCTGAAGTCTACCACTTTCACTCTGCTCATCACCCCTGTTCAAATTAATTCCCAGGAAGAACAAGGACTCATGTGGTCACCCTTTAAAATATACTTTAATAGTTGAAGCCCAAATCTTTATATGCAAGTTTGGATTATGGTTATTTTGCCTTCCTCAGCTTGTAAAGTGCTTGGATATCCAGAGGAAAAGTGTGATGCAGACACATGAACTATACCCAGATTTCATTAGGGATGGTGGAGTGTCTGATATTAGACTGTTAGCATGTGTTATGTTGAACTGTGAAGCACTGTGTCCTCTTAATTTAGATTTGGTCCCTGGGTACTAGGGATGCATGACCCAGGACAAGTACCTTTTCTCTCTCTTTTTTTTTTTTTCCTCCATTTTACATTAAGATGAGCTGAGGTGGAACGTTCAGCATTATATTTGAGCTGAGCATCCATAAGTAATGAATAAGGGTTAAATATGGATGTTAGGAATTGAGTACTGCATTATCATTTTTCACATGTTCTTAGTAATGGAAAAGGATAAATTTGCCTAATGCCACTGAAAAATCCGTAGCTTGGCTGTTCATCTAAGAGATGATACTTGTTTTATCAGAGGCAGTAGCAGTGGGTCCTTTCCTCTATGCTAAATGTCATGTATATGGGTGAATGGGTGGGTGTATGTTTGCTGGTACTTTTGAGAGTGACTTGAAGTGATCCATTATATGAATTATTGACTATCATACCAAATTGTAAGTAATAAAGCTTGACCTTTTTAAAACCCATTCCTGACATATTAGTTCAATCTGGTCCATTTCTTATGCCTTGAGTTCCGTAAATCAGTAGTCATAGTAGTGCACAAGACTGAATATAGAGTTGCATGTGTTTTTTCTGTTTTTGTCTTGAGCTTCACCTTGGATAAATTGTCTTTTTCTGTCATTCCTTCTTTGGAATTATGCAGCAATTAGTGACCCTGTTTTATCTAGCAGACGTGATAGTATTAAAGTCTTTTAATGTAGACACGTTGGAATGAACACTGTGGAAGGAGTCAAGAGACCTGTGCTCAATTCAATTTTAGGTTTTGAGGCCTTGGGTAATTGACTCTCTCTGAATCTCGGTGTACCCACTTACCAAACAAAAGGATTATACCAGTTAAATGGCATTGTTTTCTATGTATATAATGTCTGGGAATAGATTGAAAAGCACTGACTTCATAAAGAGAAGGGTGTTGAGTGTTGCACGTACTCAGCTCAGCCCTACCATCAGTCAGCATATGAAGGCTTTGGCTGTAGCACTACTGCCATCTGCTGGAATATTGTCTTATTAATAACTAAACATCTATGATATTAGGAGGTCTGTGGTAGCCACAAGAGTTGTATGGTTCACATTTTGCACAACCATTAATGCAGCTCTGGAATTCCTCTCTGCCATTGTATTTTTGAGCCCTGGTGTGGTGCTGCAGGCTAATGTGCCAGATTGCAAGGTCAGATTGAACCACAAGGTTGGCGGTTCAAGCTCACCAGCCAAACTTTGGAAACTCTATACAGGGTCGCTGTGTGTGAGAACGGATTCAACGGCACATAACAACAATAGTAATTTTGCTCACCAGTTGCTCCTCGGAAACCCTATACAGGGTCGCTATGGGTCGAACCGACTCGACAGCACTTAACAACAAGATCATTGTTGTTAGTGCCATTGAGTTGATTCCAATTCATAGCAACCCTGTACAGGGTTTCCAAGGAGCAACCTTGTGGTTCATAGTTCAATGCTTATCCTATGGTACCACACCAGGAGTCCCATGTAAGATTATATTTGGGAGAAGTCCTACTGCTAAAAATGAAATGTGAAAACTCACTGGACAAAGTGAACTCTAAAGACTTCCGCTTTGAATTTCACCCCATAGGAAAAAATGTGTCTCATAATATTTGAATATTCTTTCTGTAGAATAATCAATGGTCTGGCACATTCAATATTTATAGTCAACCAAGAAAGAAGAGCAGTGGGGAGGCCTGGGTTTTGATAACTCATTGATAATTGTCCTCCTAGATCATGATTTCTAGCAGGTAGATGCAACTCCTGATGGATGGCAACACCAGAAAATTAAAGTGGAATACTAAGGATGGCATTTAGATGTCAATTCAAGTTCTCTGCTTGCTTCCTTTCAAGCTTGACCTCATTTCTCAGGCTGCATGCCCATATTTTTGTCAAACCATTGTCCTATATCATAAGGAAAATGTGATGATGAAATGAAAATTCCAATAGGACAAACTGTACACATCCCTATATAGATGTTGTTCTATATATTATATATTATATATATATATATTATATATATATTATATATATATATAATATATATATATATATATATATATATAATACATATATAATCAAGTTGTTCTAGAGATTTTGCACCCAGGCCCTGGGAGCCTTTCCCTACTCAATCTTTCTAGATGATAGCAGTGACATAATTAAGCCTGAATGTCTTATCTCAGTGCCAGACAGGCAGAATGGAGACAGAGCTGTTTACAGCTGTCTTGTCCAATGAATCCCTGGTACTTGATTTCCTGTGCACCTGTAGAAAGCAGGTGAGAGATGTGGACCTCCAGCTCTAGGGTTAATTTACAAGACACCCAATATAATGGAACTTAGCCTCTTATTTACAAACCAGGCTCCATTTCATTTTTTTATATTATTTTACACAGATTTATGTATTAATGGAAAAAACATATTTTTTTAGCTACTTCAGGATGTTTTTACTAAATGTAATGCATGTTCCTGGGTTGGAACCTGAACTAGAAAATTTGTTTTGTTTTGTTATAAAGACCTTAAGACCGCAAGGTTGGTTTGAACTGCAAGGCTGGTGGTTCAGACTTACCAGCTGCTCCTTGGAAACCCCATAAAGGGTCACTGTGAGTCAGAACCAACTCAATGGGCACTTAGCAACAACAACATAAAAGATGATGGAAAATTTTGAAGAACTTCTAATAAAGTTTGTAAAATAGTAGTAGTATGTCAACATTAATTTCCTGACTTGATCATTATACTGTGGTTATGAAAATAAATGTCCTGGTTCTTAGAAAACATACATTGAGTACTTAGGGATAAATGGACATTATATCTGTAAATTACCCTCAAAAGTTTCAAACAGAAATACATATATTGTTAGGTGCTGTGGCATCCGTTCTAACTCAGCAACACAACAGAATGAACCACTTCTTGGTCCTGTACCCTCCTCAAAATTGTTTGAGCTCATTGTTGCTACTCTACTACGGTTTATAAATACTTCCATATTAAAGTAAACAGTTAACAGTTGGGGAATCTGGGTGAAGGGTATTTGAATTTCTACTATTTTGTAATTTTTCTATAAAAAGTATTAAAAATTAAAAACCTCTCTCTTCCCTCTCAGAAAAAGTTCTGATGAAATAACAAACTCTAGAACCCACATCCCTGAAAACAGGATTCTGATGGCTAAGGAAGGAGACTTGATGGCATAGCTGCTAACCATAGGGTTGGTGGTTCACACCTACCAGTTGCTCAGCAGAAGACATGACAGTCTGCTTTCATATTTACAGCCCTGGAAACCTTAGGAGGCAGTTCTGCTGTGTCCTATGGGATCATTATGACTCAGAATTGACTCAAGGGAAATGGGTTTTTGGTGGCTAAAGACTCTTGGTGTGGCACTGTAGGATAAGTACTTGACTGCTAATCAGAAGGCCAGGAGTTCAAACCCACCAGCTTACTCCTTGGAAACCCTATATAGGGTCACTATGAGTCAGAACCAACTCCAAGGCACTTAACAAAGTAACCCTGAAACCATCAGCCTATAGCAGAAATGGAAAGTTGACCTTATTATACCTGTATTGCAAAATGCTTCCTATTTAAAAGGAAATAGATGACATGGAAAGTAGAATTTTAATTCAGTGAAGAGTGATTTAAGTACCTGGCTGATTGAGCAAAACACTATAGAAGCACAGAAGATAGATTAATTTCAACTAGGGCAATTTTTCCCAGTGTGTTTCTACAGGATCCTATAAAAGGGTTCCGAACTTGAATAATTTGGGGGAAGCAGTGTGTTAAAAGTAAACCAAGTTCAATCACTGCCCAGGAGCTATAATTCTGAGTATCAGAATCACAATTCAGATTGCTGCCCACCCTCCAACCATAAGCTGCTGATTCTACGGTTCTAGGGTGGACCTGAGAATTTCATGAAGCTGCTGGCCAGGGCCACACTTTGAGCTGCCTTAGCAGGGAATAGCTATGCATAGGAAACAGTGACAGACAGTGCCCTTTCATTCATTAAGAAGCCCTTAATGAGCGTCCATTACTCTCCTAGTTTACTGTTATGCTTCCAGGAAGTCACCTGGCACCCATCTGAACCCAGCTTTAAACAGCTCTGCTACCTACTAGTTGTTGCCCAGAAATGAATTTCTTATGCCAGCCTGGCAAGGTTTTATACCCAGCAGCTGCCAGGCCTTTTTTTTTTTAACTATCAGCTTTTGCTCTAGTGTGGTCCCTTACTTTCAGAAGCAGTCACTATATTTTGAAGATCTGTGCCCTGACACTGTAGAATATTACCCTGGAGGAAGTACAGTCCATCTGCTAGCCCACAACTCTTCTTAATTAGTTCCCT